TTGGAATAATAATTTTTTAAAGATTGCTAACCACTCAGTGTATTTCCGGGGATTGGCAAACAAAAATATTAATAGAATTGGGGATTTAATTGACACCAATGGAAACTTTTACAATTGGGTTTTTTGGAATACTAAAGGTATTTTTCAAGTAGAATTTTTCCAAATTCAGGGCATAATAGATGCTATTCCAAGGGAATGGAAAAGTATAATTCATAGAAACAGACATACAAAGGTTGATTATGGTGAAGGATTTATTGCAAGTCCTCCTATATAGATATTAAGTCAACTACAAGTAAACAAATTTATAAATTGTTATGCAGAGATATTGTTGAGACTCCAACCATTGTCAGCCGATTTCAAGAACTGTATGGTGTATTGTCATGAATTAGTTTACGTGTATCTGTTGACCGACGTAATTAGCCGATTATTAGCGAATTGCTGTGTTATGTCTGTCATCGTTTAGGTCTATTTGAAGTTTTGGACGGAACTTGGCTCAGTGATTTGGAACTAATTACGAGATAACCGTCGCTATTCTGACTATTAATTCTGACAGTTGGTATCCGTAGTTATTAATGTAGTGAACGATTAATCAAAAGATATGACGTATTCAGTACTTAGTGTGATTGGCTTTATGATTGAAGGTTACGCCCTAGAGTCTTTTTACTGTTTTGTAATTGGTTAGAGTTTTGAAAATGAATAAAGAGAGTTTGAGTTGGTCTTGGCAAGTACTCTACGATAGACGCAGTCGAGACTCCAGTCCTGGGGCGAGCCTTGAGGCAGTCCAGTCTTAATGTTAAAGAAAAATTGCAGTTTTTGACACTTTCTAAAACCTAGATATTTAAAATAATTCAGAACAAAAAAAAGTACTCCTTCATTAACAATATATGATTTTTTTTCAGCATATGTCACCATTATGGTAGATTTTGAGATAGTGCATAATATCTCTGCCATACGAACCTATGGTAAAAGCATTATGATAGCACCAAAATGGCGACTTTCCACTAAAATAAAACCATCAATATCTCGACAATAAGGCTGATGACCCCCAACTTTTTTAAGTCAATACTCCTGTATTGCCTTGGCGAACAGTTTGTTGCAAAATGAATAAATTCTGGGTTTTTTAATTTATGAGTAGGCTTCTACCTTAAAGCCCGCTCTGATTTTCAGATATTACGATTTCATCGACACAAAAGAACCGAGATTCATCCCATTGACTTACGTAACACAAACGTATGGCAAATGGTATCGCAAAAAAACGTCTGAAAATTACACTATTAATCACACCATTGAAACTATCCTCAATTGATTCTGTCGAAAATATAAAAATGTACATTTCATTTTTCTATATAGCTTGTCTTTTAATACTATTATACGTGTTAACTTCTTCTGAGAAGTTAAGTGACGTGTTGATCCCCACTTGCAGAAAATAAAAGAGTTCTGGTAGTATTAGGGAATCAAATCGATGAGTGAGTGACACGCTTGAAGTTTATACACCAATTTGCATGTACATGCATTTTTTCCAATTTCTAACCTCGTTTTCTTAGAAAACAATAACGCTTATCAAAGTGTTTATTAAAAGCAATGTCCAGCCTCACAATACCATGAACAAAAATTAAACAATCAAGTCATTCACTACTAAATCTTCGATCAGTGCACAACCTCTAAAATGCTCATACATTTTTTTTATACGGGCATCCGTTAACAAAAAAAAACAAAAAAAAAAACACGAACATCAAGCACGTTTTAAGTATGGAAACAAGTTAAAATAAAACACCTATTTGAATTGTAGTGGTGACGAAGTTCATTTACATATTAAAACGCAGAACGCAGTTAAAACCAACTTTAGTTTAAACAAATCACATATTTCATAGCCAGGCAACTATTTGGACGGTAAAAAAAAAACCGGTACTTTGAGATGGTTGTGGAGACTCCCCTGAACAGTGTAACAAGATTACCCCTGCGTGTGTAACGCATATAAATTTGATTGTTCAGGATTACAAAGTCGAGTTCCTGTTGTTTTCTAGAATTTTCACCGACTCTTCGCTCGGCGCTCCGCGTTCCTCAGCAGCGCGCGCAGAGCCCGTAAAAATACGTGGTATAGTGGTGCGCGTCTTTTAAAAGCGGCGAGGTCGTCACATATGCATGCGTCAGGTGATGTTATTGTTTACAAACAAGCGTCTACCCATGAGCCTTTGCGTTTTAGTGTGTGTTGTTATCGTCGCTTGGGACTCGATTCCCGCGCGTGCGCAAGGGACGACCCTCCCGCTTTAAAGTTCTCTGCGAATGGTAAGTGTACTGATATGTTGAGTGATATATACGTGTGGTGTACAAAACAAGACGATTGCGTTTCTTGATTGTAGTTAACTACAGATATGAACAACCTTTGCCCCGTAGATCACAGTCGATTATAACAAAAAAAAAACAGACCTGTAATTATTTTGTGCACAGCACCGGTATAACACCGGTCAAAGTTTCCGACTGTGCCTTGGCCCATGGCACTGTAAGAATTGATAGTGATATCTACATTCTGCCGTCGGTTGTCCACTCATACACTGTAGATATGACCCTCTCCGGCTATCAAGGCGGTATGTCGGCCAGGCATATTAATCGACAAACTACACATATTTAGTATGACTCCATCAATGTATGTGCCACGGAACTGGGGGCTTTGATAGGTAAGCAGAGAAAGTTTATATCACATCACCTTATAAGGGCGGAAGTCGTCGGCCCACGCATGTGCGAGATAAATGGGACTCGTATAAACAAAGATGGCGACTTTGGCTGTTGCGCAGATCAACAAGTACAAACTGAGACGTTACTGTCATGCATACGAGATGCCAACAATTTTGACTATGTTGCCCAGTGTTCGATCCATCCATCAAACCGCAAGACCACGTACGAGTTAGATAACATTGAACAAATAACTTTAATTGATCAAGGGGAAAAAGGGATTAAATACAATCTGTTTACAAATCTAGGATTTTCTGCCTATTAGTGAA